GATTTATATGATTAACATGATCTGTATGACCTGTATGATTTGAATGTATTTGTCTATTAGAGCACTGTCTTAAGAAGATTGTGGGTATAAGAAATCAAAAAGGAGGCTTTCTCCTACTTTAATTTGAAATAACTTGATGGTATAGTTATCTTGACTAAATAGGATTATTGGGTTAAGGAACGTAATGATAAATAATCTTAGAGTAGGATATTAAGAGTTTAAGAAGAATATATATTGTTGTGAGTATAGAGAATCTAAACCTTGATCCCTCTTTTATTGTATAAAGAACAAACTACAATACATTGTGTATAGGAAGAAATAGAAAAGAGGTGTTTGAGTAAGATATATAGAGATACATGCAGATATAGATCTTTCAATTGATAAATACCTGACTACTAGATTACTGCTCTAAGTTAAAAGTGAATTAAGAAATTAAAAAAGGGGGCTTTTTGTCTTTCCTTCTCTATTGGGGTGATATTTGAGGTTATAATTACTTTGATTAAGTATTGTATATTGAACTAAGGAAATATAGTGATAAATAAGTTTTGATTACAATATTAAGAGATTAAGGGGAGTGTATATCTAGGTGATTGTATAGAAATGGAAATTAGATTCCACCTTTTATTATAAATAAAAGGGAAAAAAGAATAAATTTAATAGTTTGTGCATAAGGAAAGGCAGGAGGGCTTTGTCTGAGTAGGATATTGTCAGATATATAGTGGTATTGACTTTGAGATAGAGAAAGGGATAACAAGTGGTGCTAATTCTATATAATTATAATAAAGAGATTGAAAAGAAGAAGGAATAAAATGAAAGTAAGAGATTAGTTTAAAATATATTGTAAAAGAGATAATAAAATAGGTAGAAATAAATACAGCTTGAAAATAAGACAAGTGCCATGACATCAGCCTGGAGAAAGGCAAAGAAGACAACATCTAGTCCAACATTGACAATTACATCACTTGCCGGTCAAAAGGCAATTGAAGGAATGTCAGGGGCAGAAAAACAAACTGTAGCCAATATGCAAACAATACAGGTTTCGTTAATAACCATTCAAGAAACCATGCTTAAAATGCAAGAACAACAGATAAAAATGCAAGAGAATATTTCGCAAAATCATATGGAATTGAAAGGCAATATTAATAAATTAGAAGACAAAGAAAGAAAGGTATTGCAATATATATGAGAGATGATTTAAAAGCGGAATTAATCTGGGCGGACCCTGAAGGAAGAACTCTGGTGGTACAAACTTCAATTAATGGCATTACATTTTTACTGGTAGTAATCTATGCCCCAAATGATGATCAAGGTAAATTTTTCAAACATCTCCACCAAAAAATAATAGATTTCGAAAAAGGAAATATTTGTCTGATTGGCGATTTTAACTCTATTGCTGACTACCGGAAGGATCACAGTAACATGAGTAAGAATAAAAAAGGAAAAAGAGAATTTTCGAAGCCATGTAAGGATATGATGAATGAACTGAATCTGGTAGATATCTGGAGAAAACTAAACCCCAAAAAAGAACAGTTTACTTATTACTCTAACCCACACAAAATTTGGACAAGAATAGATATGGCTTGGATAAATGGTGAATTAATTAATGAAATCAAAGATAGCGAAATCTTACCAAACGACTGGGCTGACCACAACCCAATTCAAATAACCTGGAGAGGTAGAAGAAAACCAAAGAGAAGATGGACTCTTAATACTCACTTAATAAAAGAAGAAGAATATACTAATAAAGTGAAAGAAGAACTGAAATTCTTCTTAAAGGAAAATAATAATGAACTAACTTTGAAACAAAATATATGGGACACAATGAAGGCATTTATAAGAGGAATAACAATCTCTTACAACGCTATGAGAAATAAAAGAAAGTATGCCCAACAAAGTAACTTACAACAAGAAATTAAGGATTTAGAAACCCAACTACAAAAGAACCCCAAAAATCAAAGAATACAGAATCAGTTAATAACAACTAAACATAAACTAAATTTACTGGAACAAGAAAAATTGGAGATTAGTCTGAAAATGACCAAACAAATTTATTTTGAGCATGCAAACAAGCCAGGGAGATGGCTAGCCCACAAACTTAAAAAAACGAAAGAAAAAAGAACAATACACCAATTAATAGACGAGAGGGGCACTTTGCAAGAGGAGATAGAGAAGAAAAAAGCGATCACTTTCAAATACTTTGGGAAATTATACAAAAAGGAAGAAGTCTGTGAGGACAAAATAATGAAATACCTAGAGGAAGCGAACGATAAAGCAATTGGAGAGGAAGAGATAGAATTATTAAACAAAAATATAACATGGTCCGAACTGAAGTCAGCAATAGAGAAGCAAAGTAACAATAAAGCGCCAGGACCGTACGGGATACCTGTAGAACTTTACAAAACAATCATAGAACAAATTGGACCACTGATGCTGGAAGTATTCAATGAGGTACTCCTAGCAGCCAAGATGCCGGACTCGTGGAGGGGAGCCTTAATTTCGCTGATCCCGAAGGAGGACCTAGATCATAGACGTATTAATAATTATAGACCAATCTCGCTCCTGAATGCAGATTACAAACTATTCTCTTCTATAATAGCCAATAGACTAAAACAGGTTTTAAACACACATATCCATGAAGATCAAAATGGATTTCTCCCATTTCGACAAATTAAGAATAATTTAAGAACAGTGATAGACATTTCAGAATTCTATGAAGCCCATCCGGAAAAACAATTTGCATTTATGTTTTTGGACGCTGAAAAAGCATTCGACAATTTAAATTGGCATTTTTTAATTCAAAAAATATACAAGATGAACCTCGGCACTAGATTCGAAAACGTCATCACTACAATTTACCACACCCAACAGGCAAATATTCTAATAAATGGGGAACAAACTGGCCCGATAAAAATAGAAAAAGGGGTAAGACAGGGTTGCCCTCTCTCTCCTCTGCTTTTCATATTCGCCCTAGAATCTCTTTTGACGTATATTAGGCAAAATTCGAGAATTAGAGGACTGAGGATTAAATCAGAAGAGTATAAAGTACAAGCCTTCGCTGACGATTTGATTTTTTTTCTGGAGGAGCCCATAGAAAAAGGACATATCTTATTAGAAGAACTAGGATGATTTGGAGAAGTCGCCGGATTTAAAATTAATAGGGGAAAAACGAAATTAATGTCTAAAAATTTAACAGGAGACCAGAATAAAGAACTGGAGACAATAATGGGAATACAGGTGACAAAAAAAATTAAATACTTAGGAATTTGGCTTACTCCACAAAGCAAATCATTAAAAGAAAACAATTATGACAAACTTCTCCAACAATCCAAGAAAGATTTAGATTCCTGGAGTACATTACAACTTTCCTTATTGGGCAGGATTGCTCTGATTAAGATGAATATTCTGCCAAAATTTCTATATCTATTCCAGACAATTCCAATCAAATTAAATAAAAAAAAATTTATGGAATTAAACAAGATAACACTGAAATTTATTTGGCAGGGGGAAAAAGCTAGGATTAATGTAAAAGCCCTACAAGATTTGAAAAGCAGAGGAGGGTTAGGCCTGCCAAACTGGGAAATATATTATAAGGCAGCCACCCTACTATGGATAAAGGAATGGGTGAATATAACCAACAAAAGAACACTAATATTAGAAGGCCACGATATGCAAAAAGGATGGCATGCCTTTCTGTGGGAAACTGGGAAACCCAGGCAATCATATTTTCATAGGCATCTTATCAGGGACTCTCTATTAACCAATTGGAAAAAAGTACATAAAAAACTCTATCTAAAAATACCGATTTGGCTATCTCCAATGGAAGCGATAGTACACCCTAATAATTTGGATATAACTAAAATGATTAAGTACAAAAATTTATTAGATCCACAAGGAAAACTGAAAACACGACAAGAATTACAAGAGCAAGGATTTATAATTGATCAGTGGGTGTACCTTCAAATTCATAGTAGATACAAACAAGATATTAAGGAATTTGGAATCTACAATAAATTACAGACATTAGACAAAATCCTATTAGGACCGAGCAAAAAAAATATATCTAAATTTTACAAACATTTATTAGAAACTGAATTAGAACAAGAAATTGTCAAAGGAAATATGATTGCATGGAGCAGAAACGTGGGATGGAGCATTACCCTAGCAGAATGGGAAAGGATCTGGAACAGGAACATTAAGATCACGAAATCAGCAGCTTATAAAGAAAACGCATATAAAATGTTTTATAGATGGCACTTGCCCCCTTCGAGATTGGCGAAGATGCACCCCAACACGAGCCCCAATTGTTGGAAATGCCAAAGCATAGAAGGTACCTTCTTCCATATGTGGTGGTCATGCAAGGAAACCCAGAAGTACTGGCAAAAAAATAGGCGCTGGCTAGAGGAAATAACCAAGGAACAAATTGATTACAAACCAGAGTCCTTCCTTCTAGGAATTTTCTATAAACAAATACCCAAAAAATCGAAGTATATTGTAATTCATATCTTAACCGCAGCCAGATTGGCATTCGCCCAATGCTGGAAATTACCTTCTATCCCCACTGAACATATGGTTATTCAGAAAATTTTACAATGCGCCGAAATGGACAAACTAACCCAAGCATTAAAAAATAAAGAATCCTCATCCTATTACAACAATTGGAATCCTTTGTATAATTGGCTAAACCAAAGATAGATCACCTCTAGGAAAACTATGGCCGAGGGCCTCCGAAGCAGAGATAAAGAAAAGTACTGCCGACGATATTTTTGAAGAAGAAAGGATCTAACAGACAGTCGCAAAATATGGTTTTATTTTAACTGTTTTCTCTACTCTACCCTTCCCCTCCCTTACTCTTCCCTTTTTCCTCTCTTAGGCTTTCCTCTCTTTCCCTCTTGGCCTATGCTAAGGCCTGTTTGTCTTTTTGTTGTACATAACTTGTAGTTGTGTTGTGCTTTTAAAGGTAAAACTAATAAAGTATTTCCCCCCCCAAAAAAAAAGAAGACAAAGTTGATACTATACAGCAAACAATGCAAAAGAATGAGCAGAAACTAGAAGAGGTGGAACTTAGAATAGTACAAAATGAAAAGAAACTGGAACTAATGGATCACAGGATGATGACAATAAATAAAAGATTAGAAGAACAGATTATCCACCTAGAGATGGACCGCACTGCCTATTACTTGAGGTTTCAAAATATCATTGAAAGTAGAGATGAAGATCTAAATATGCTTATGGCAGAATTACTTGTGTCAGCTTTACAAAGGGAGATCCAAGAGATCCTGCTAGAAATCAATGAGGCCTATAGAGTTCAAACGAGTTACGCTCGGGTTACCCAGGGAAGTCCACATGCGATTTGCCAGGAAACAAGTATGTGACATAATATACAAGATAACGTGAGACAAACCTTTGGTTTATAAAGATAAAGAAGTGCAAACCCTGAAGCAGGTTCCCAAGAAGGTGAGTGAACAGAGAAAAGACTGTAAGTTTTTGGCAACACAACTTATCCAGAAGAACATAATGTTTTGATGGTTAATTCCAGAAGGCTTGTTGGTAACATGGCAGGAAAAGAGGACCAGGATAGATAACTTAGACAAGGTGCAAGATTTCTATGAGCAGATTGGAGGAACAGAAGAAGAAAGCAGCAATAAAGAGGAGCTAGAGACAGAAAGCCAAGAAGAACAACAACAGCAAGATATAGGAGGCCTAGAACAAGAAGGAGAGAACAAGGAGGAGACAGAAGGAAGAAAATTAAGAACACGCCCACAAAGAGAGACTAGAGTTAACAGAAGACAGATAATATCCCACAAGTAGAAAGACGGAAACAGAAACGAAGCTATTATCATTAAACATAAATGGTCTAAACTCACCCATTAAAAGGAAACAGATATTATCTAGATTAGCCAAACAGAAATTAGAAATAGTATGCCTGCAAGAAGTTCATATTAAAAAACAATTCTGGAAATGTTTAGAATATCCTAAATTAGGAAGGTTATTTGTAGCCCTTGCAGACCAAAAACAGAAAGGGATAGTGGTATATGTTAAAAAAGAAATTAAGACAGTAGAAAAATACGTAGACCCACAAGGGAGAATTTTGATACTTGAACTAGAATTAGGGTACAAGCCAATGTTATTAGTTACAATTTATGAGCTGAATGACAACCAAAGTCAATTCTATAAGGATTTACATGAGAGAATCACTGAGATGGGACAAGATAATGTATGCATTGTGGGAAATCTTAATGCGGTAGTAATAAGGAAGGATTATTTTAGTAATGCAAAGAACAAAAAGAAAAGGAAAATTTTACCCAGATCCTTTTTCAATATGACACAGGAACTAAATTTGATAGATCAATGGAGGAGAATAAATTTGGGGAAAAAGAATTCACGTTCTACTCTAACCCACACAAATCATGGTCTAGATTAGACATGGTGTGGATGAACGCAGAACTAGGAAACCAATTAGATTCGATAGAGATTATGACAAATGTATGGGCTGATCATAACCCATTAAAAATAACTTGGAAAGGAAGGAAGAGTAGAAGGTGGATACTTAATCCCCAAATTTTAAAGGAGAAAGATTTTGTAGAGAAAATTAAGAAAGAAATGGAACTTTTTTTTAAAGAAAATACAGTGGAGCAAACATCATTACAGAATTTATGGGATACAGCAAAGGCAGTCTTGAGGGGGTTGGTAACAGCATATACAGCGAAAAGGAATAAGGAAAGATGGCAAAATCAGAATAAATTACAGAAGGAGATTAAAGACCTAGAAAGTAGATTACAAAAAAACCCATAAGATGAAAAATTGAGGAGAGAGATGGTTCTTACTAGGCATAAATTGAACATTATAAATCAGGAAGAGAGAGTTAAAGAGGTGAAAAGGGCAAAACAGAATTTTTTCGAACATGCAAATAAACCAGGGAGGTGGTTAGCCCATAAATTAATATTAGAAAGAGAAAGAAGGTTGATACAAGAATTGGAGGAGGAGAAGGGAAAATTAGAATATCGAATGACTGAGAAAAAGAAAATAGTACAAAAATATTTTGAACAACTATATAGGGAGGATGGAATAAACCCTGAGAATATAGAACAATATTTGAAAAGGAAAGGTTTCCCAGAAATTAGAGAGGAACAGAAAGAGATATTAAATAAAGAAATAACAGTGATGAAATTGAAAAGGGTGGTTGAAAGGCAGAAAGATAATAAGATGCCAGGGCCAGATGGTCTTCCAGCGGAACTGTATAAATGTATTTATGAATGTCTTGAACCAGTGATGTTTGATGTATACAGTGAGGTATTAGACTTTGCTAAGTTACCCGATTCATGGAGAGAAGCGAATATCTCACTAATTCCTAAAGAAGATTTAGATCACAAACGGATTAAAAATTATAGACCAATCTCACTCCTGAATGCAGACTATAAAATATTCGCAATAATGTCAGAAAGACTAAAAATTATATTAAATGAACTTATTCATATTGACCAGAATGGTTTTCTACCTTCTAGACAGATAAGGAACAATATAATGATAGTATTAAACGTATTAGAATACTATGAGGCCCACCCGGGAAAGCAGGCAGCGTTCTTGGATGCTCAGAAGGCCTTTGACAATCTCAGCTGGCAGTTCTTGATCCAACAGGTCAAAAATATGGGATTTGGATCTAAATTCAAGAAAATGATTGGCACAATTTATTTGAACCAAAAAGCTAGGGTAATTATAAATAGGGAGATTACTGAAAACTTTAAGATTATAAAAGGTGTTATGCAGGGATGTCCAATGTTGCCTCTGCTTTTTATCTTGACCATCGAAGTGCTTTTAAATCAGATTAGACAAAGAAAGGAGATAATTGAAGGGCAAAAAAGAAGAATATAAAGTACAGGCGTTTGCAGTTGACTTAGTGTTTTTTGTGAAAGATCCAATGGAGTCAGGGACCTATCTAATCCAAGAATTAGAAGAATATGGGGCGGTAGCAGGACTAGAAATTAATAAAGATAAAACAAAAGTAATAACCAAAAACCTGATAGAAAGTAAAAAAAAAAAAACAATTGGAAAGGAAATTGGGACTACAAAATGTCAAAAAACTTAAGTATCTAGGAATTTGGTTAACAGGAAGATGCTTTTCCATAAAAGAGGAAAATTATATGAAATTACTTTCACAGATTAAGAAAGATCTGGCCAATTGGGGAAAATTACAACTATCACTGTTAGGCCAAATAGCGGCCATAAAAATGAACATACTACCGAAACTATCATACTATTTTCAAACAATACCTATAAAATTGGATACAATTTTTTTTCAGGAATTAGATAGGATGGTAATAAAATTTATATGGATGGGGAAAAAAGCACGAATAAAATTGAAAATGTTACAAGATAGTAGAACCAGAGGTGGCCTTGGACTCCCAAAATGGGAAACATATTATCAAGCAGCAATTTTACTATGGGTTAAGGAGTGGATAAACTTAAAAAAAATAAAAGAATTTTGGCAATTGAAGGTCATGACCTCCAAGTTGGGTGGCATGCCTTTCTATGGGATAAAAAGAATAAGATCCTCTCCTATTTCCATAGACATTTGATAAGGGACTCACTTTTACAAACATGGGAGAAAAAAAAAAACATTATTTGAAAAGACCAAACTGGATCTCATCTATGGAAGCTATATTGTACCCAAATACAAGGGACACTAAAAAAATGATTAGATATAAAGAATTGGTAGATGAACAGAGGGGAATTACAAACACTGGATAAACTAAAAGAACAAGGGATAATATTAGACTGGTGGGTATATTTGCAAATTCAAACTAAGAAAGATGTAAAGGAGCTAGGGATAGATAAAGATTTACAAAAATTGGACCAAATCTTGACAGGCAAGGATATAAAATTTATAACACGAACACATATTTACTGGAGGTAGAACTAGAGGAGGAAATTGTTAAGGGACCAGTGATTGCCTGGGCAAGAAATGTGGGTCATAATATAAATTTGGATGAGTGGGAAAAGACTTGGACTGAGAACTGGAAGCTGACTTTGTCAACGGCATTCAAAGAAAATCAATATAAAATGTTTTGTAGATGGCACTTAGCACTGGCATGACTGGCAAAAATGTATCCAACCTTGAAATCAGAATGCTGGAAGTGCAAACAAAAGAAAGGAACATTTTTCCATATGTGGTGGCAATGTATAGAGGTCAAAAAATACTGGAAGAAAATACAGAGATGGCTTTTTGAGATTACAAAATATAAATTGAATTTGGAACCCCGAAATGTTTTTATTAGGTATAATCAAAGGGAATTTGAGTAAAGATAAAAGATACCTTATTGTACACATCTTAACTGCAGCAAGAATCACGTTAGCACAAAATTGGAAGAGGGATAAAATACCACCAGATGAAGTTTTGATTCAAAAAATAATGGACTGTGCTGAACTAAATAAATTCACTATGGAACTGAAAGGCAAAGAGGATTGAGAATACTATGCGACATGGGAGAGGTGGTACAAATGGGTGAAGGATAAGGATAAAATAATGTATAGTCACAAAATAAGAAACATGTATATACAATGACACAATAACTGTTAATGCTTTCAAGTGGGAGATTTTTCCTCATCCGCCCTACAGCCCCGATCTTACACCAAGCGAAAGCATTCAGGACTTCTCGAGTGCCATAGTTCAGCCATTCTTAAACTTAATGCACCATTGGCACACTCCACCTTCAGTGATGATGTTGTCCCCGTACACTTCACACAGTTGCCGAAAAATTTCAATCGGTTTATGGTTTTTTGCCAACAGAAACCTTATCATTGATCACACCTCACAACTCGCGGGATTTTCAATTGCAGCACACATTTCAAATGTTTGCTGTGAAATAATGGGCAACAATACGAACCTCCCACTAGCACGACTAGATGCAGACTGAGCGGCGGATGCACAGACCAAAGATGGCCACGCTAGCTCCGCCCCTTCTTGCTACAGACGAAAACGTAATCTATTTTGTGGATAGCCCTCGTAGAAAGAGTATCTAAGATATTCTTTTGGTCTTTTGTTTATGTATCCTTATTGATTATCAAAATGTTAATTGAATCTTTTTATACTTAATATTTTATCTTCTTCCACATCCTTCTTGTAACTGTGAGTAGCTGGTTGCTGCTGCCAGATACATAGGTGGCTGAGAGGCATGCACAAGTTTTTTGGGGCTGTTTCCAGATGTTGGAAATTTACCTGAACTATTTGTAATCTTCCTGCTGGCTTCTACACTGACTTTGCTTGTCAGGGAAGATAGCAAATGATGATACATGACCATGGGACACTGCTTGTCATA